TGAAATATTGAGTGCAATGATCATGTTTAGCAGAGATAACTTGGTAGGTTACGTTTCTGTAAGGGGGGGGGAGGGGCCCGTTTGAATTTCACTCGATTAAGCATTAGTGCCGTGTGCAGCGCAGTGACGAGCCCAGAGGAGTCCTGCGTCCGACCGCGAAACCTATCCTGGCTTTGACTGAGCTGCTGGATTTCTGCAACAACTTTGAACCAAGTGGAATGGTGAGTGTGTACTCTCACCATATTGACTGTAGCGTTAGATATCATTCTGGGAGCATTTATTTCAACAAGTAAGCTAAACGCTAACGTTAGCTGAGTGTTAGCATGCTAACGATTTTCTGTGGGTCCAGTTTATAACTTTAACACGTGTTTGCATGTGTTGTGTTTTAAGCTAGCTGACGATAACGTTACGTTAGCTTTTTAAAATGGTGTTTGGTTAGGTTGCGCAGGAGTTATTTATTGCATTTATAGCAGTAACTTAGCTCGCTTCTCAAGGCACGAGGTCATTAGTTGGTTATTAGCAGAGGCTGGGTAACGTTTTGCAGTGGAGTTAATGTTACTGGAACTGGGTTGTTGAACTGAAAGTTGAGCCAATAGTTTTCTTTTTGTTTTCACAGGTTCTTGTGAAGATGCAATGGAAGTGTACATATTGTGAGTTCATAAGTCGACTCAGGTCGCCCCCGGATCGCGCACCGTCAAACAGCGGACTCGCTGCGGACACCGGGGTATCCTCACATCAAACGCGCCTTTTTCCCCCGTTCAAATACTGCAGGCAGGTAACAGGCAGCCTACCATTAGGACCCAGGCAACAGGGGGCATACAATACAATGGGGTGGGAGGTTCACCTTTCCTCCTGAACTCAGACAAACCTGAGAGAGCAGCTGATCTACCTCGAGGCCAGCCTTTGTTCGGTAAGTTATCTTTCCTTTTTTAAACCTGTTTAAAAGCATGATTTTAAGAGTGAAATTGTAGAAAAAACATTCTGTAAAGTGTTAACAGTACTTTTTTGATCCATTTAAGATTTCCTCCCTGGCAACCATCAGAGGACATGACACAAAACGGGTTACATGGAACATCTTGCCCGCATGTTCAACGATGATGTTGGGAAGAGAATGAACTGGAAAGGGATAAATGGGAAAAAGTCCTTCAGCCAGATGGAGTCCAAGACTTTGCTCCTGGTAAGTAACTGTAATATTTAATGAAAACAATCTGAAGTCACCCAGAGGTCTTAGGTTGTGTTCAAACTTACAAATTCTCTTTGCAACTTCAACTTCATTCTCTGCTCAGGTAGATATTCCTCGATTATATCTTTACATAATAGTTATATGATATATTAGCTCTGAATATAGCATAGCAAACCTTTACATGCCAGACAGCCACTAGCTTCCAGACTGCATGTCGGCTAGATGTTGCACTGAGGGTTCATGGGATTTTGTATGATCTGCTTGTGATTACAGATGCCGTCGAAAGAATCATGTCTCACGTGCCGCCACAGATGATGAGAGTGTGAAACAGCAATGAGGTTCAACCTGGCAGCAGACAGGGGAAGCTCCAGGAGGCGTGCCACAGTCAGCATCCCTACTGAACAAGCCTGTGATAAATGCAATGTTTTAAAATCCTGTTTTTGATACTATTCATTGCAGAGTTTGCTATCTGTTTAGGTCTTATATGCAGAGACACCTCAACTGTGGGGTCTGCTGGCCCCTCCAAACCAAGCCTCACATGGTTTTAATCCCCCTTTATCACCAAAGACTCTCAGGAAATGTTTAACTACTAAGATACTTATTTAGAATTATGTTATAAGTTTGTTGAATGAGGAGTAGGAATGTTCCACCACTTGTGTTTTACAGTGTATGCTCAGGACTGCATATTGGTGTTCAGTTGTTTCGATATGTTTAACCCAGTTCCTCTGTCCTTATCCAGTCAAGTTGGAATGTCTGTATGTGAATAGTCATTCACAAGGCACCGTTACTGTGTAATGCTGCATTTCTTCTCTCGACAAGTTGGAATTTCTTTCAGTTTTAACAGTTACAATGCAATGTTTTGAAAAAATAAAACACATTGGAACATTAAAATGTATTGTTTAATTTCTTTCCTTCTGTACAATTTTCTTGAAACAATACATTAAATCTCAAAATCAAAATAGTATAATTAATTTAATTAAAAGTAAAGACATTACTTAAATAAACTAATGGTCTTAAGTAGCAATAAATAATGTTATATTAGTGATTTGTTTATACTGTATATGCTTATGTATGTTGAACTTAAAATAGTTATTTCATTAAACTTACACTAAAAAAAAGAAATAATTCAAGTGAACTAATGATTTTTAGTAAAGATTACTAATGTGGACTTAAATTTGTCTACTGCATTCATTAAGGTTCTATGTTAACACAACTTGGATCTGTTTAGTTCCTCCATTTGTAAAAACAAATGGTTTGAGGCAACGGGTTTCTGTCATAAGTTACAGGTTAAGACAAAACGCTCCCAAACTTGCGACTTAAATGACGCCTGAGCTTCTCAAGTTCCTCCGCTCGCCATGACTTCCGCCGTTAAATGCTTTTAACCTGCTCCATTCACTGAACACACTACTGCTTTATATCTGTTCACTGACACTCTGCATTGATATTCGGGGACTTGTTACTTGAAAAGGAACAGCAGCAGTAAAACGTTATTGCAGACTATGATAATTACACTGTAAAGAACAAAAAAAAAAAAAAAATCGATCCGCGGTTCACGGGTGATCCGAACCGTGAGGGCTGATCCGTTACACCACTAATACCTACCAAATTTCATACAGCTAGGTAAAACCAAATGTTGGGGCTACTCAATAGGGGGCGCTATCGAGCTAATATTTCATACACCCCAATGGACACCCCAATCAGACTGCAATTTTCACAAATTATGGCTTGCGTGCCAAATTTCAGAAGTTTTCCAGTATCCCAAGCTCCTCCTTTTTGCGACGAAACATGTAAAATAATAAGAAGAATAATAAGAAAAAACATTAGAATGACAATAGGTCCTCCGCTCCGACTACGTCAGTGCTCGGGCCCTAACTAAAGCTGCAAGCAGCAATATACGGACCCTCGCACTCTCTGAAGATGAGCAGAGAAGGAGGAAGAGGAGCAGAGAAGGAGGAAGATTCTTTCATCTCCTGATCAAACTTCTCAGATAAAGGAAAGAAACCGTCCCTCTCAGAATTAATTAAAATTACTGCAGATAAATTTAATCCTTGATGGACCAAATATCCCTTTCCTCATGTCCTCATGTCCTCATGTCCTCACAGAATATCAAGGACATTGAATTATTTAAATCCTGACATTCTTCTTTGTCAGTCGAATGACAACAAAGGCACGAATGCAGAGCCGGTCTCGTCCTCGTGAGTCAAAGGAGACGAGTCCAGCCTGCTGAGGAGTCCTTGAGCCAGGCACTGTTGGTCAACTGCTTTTAACGAGAATAATAAAGACGGAGTAGAAGGTTTCCTCACAGCTCTCATCTCGTTTCTTTAAAGGATGAAATGTTTAAGATGTAGTTTAAACTTAATAAAATGAACTGACTTGTTGGTTGTTGTGTCAAAGATATTTACTGAATGAGTTGACCAGCTAGCCCCGCCCCTTCCTGTCTCCTAATACTTTGGATTTACATTGACAATGAGAGACACTGAGCGTAGATCTGTGTCAGAGTCTCAGTGAACACACAGACCTCTTTTGGAGATTATTACACAGCATGTTATCTTAAACAGCACTTTGGTTATATTTTGCATGTTCCTGCCCTGCTGTTGGTTAAGATGTGACTGATGACTGTAGATCTAAATGTAAAGTCTCAGATGTTTGGAGAACAGACCTCACACATTGCATCTTTATCTTTAAGGTGTAACTCCAGCCCCAGGTCTGAGCCTAAATCCAGCAATGTACCACTTAGAAAGAAGAAGACACGAGTAGAAAGATGAACCTTCTGTCTGAGGAAAGAGAAACACGAAGAAGTTTGGAAACTAACGAATCACGAGACGGCGTTTTGAGACTTTTTTCTCTTTGGGATGGATGATATTTATCAGCAGAAATTCGTGAGTTTTATGAATGTGTGTCGGTGTTTCATGCCCGCCTTCCTTATCAAATCACCCCCCCCCCCCACCCTCCAATCCATGACCCAAACAAAGCTCACACTGATTGGATTACCTGAGATCCAATCAAATAAGGAATTCTTATGTGACCGGATTTAGGGTCTGCACATATACAAAGCACGCACACACACACTCACACGCACACACACACTCACACGCACACACGCACACACACACACACACACTCACACACACACGCACTCACACACACACACACACACACACGCACTCACACACACATGCACTCACACACACACCCACCCCCACACACACACACGCACTCACACACACCCACACACACACACCCACCCACACACACACACACACACACTCACACTCACACACACACGCACTCACACACACACACCCACACACGCACTCACACACACACACGCACTCTCACACACACACACACACACACACACACACACACACACACACATTGTGGGAAATCCGCCTTCTAAAGAAGTGTGTGTGTGTGTGTGTGTGTGTGTTATTTGACATCACAGCATCAGCCCGGCCCCGCTGAGTTACCGTGGTTACGGCAGTGGAAAATGAAATCAACGCTCTCAGGACTTCGTATTGTTAGAGTATTATGGAAATTCAAAAGTTCAGTTGAAGTTGTGACTGATTTTGTTTCAGGTTGAACTTCTTTGTTTCATATGAATCTGAATATTGTCTCCAGGTTTTCCTCTGAAACATTTAAAGTTCCTGAAAGAAGAAGAGCAAAGTGATGGTAGCTTCTTCCTCTCAGAGGTCTGTGTAGATAACCAGTACAGGAAGTCCTGTCTTGTTTCAGGAACATTTGTGACTGTTTATGTGGAAGTGTTTTAAATAGTAACGTGTTAGTGAAGAGAGAGGACTTGAGTGTTGAGACTCACCCCATTGGCTCTGCTCATGGCCTGGTAGTAGATGCTGTAGCTCTTAGCCGGAGACAGCGGAGGGTTCCAGAAGCCTCCGTAGCTCTTGTTGTCTCCCACTGTGAACGGCTGCACCACGGTAAGGCTGGAGGGGCTCAGCTCAGCGGCCATGTAGTAAGAGGAGTCCAGGAAGGAGGCGTTACGGAAGCTCACCGGAGCAGAGAAACACTTGGGGGCCTCGGAGGCAGAGCGGCGGGTCTTAGACTTACGCTCCTCCTTCACAACGAGCTGATAGGAGCTGGAGACAAAATAAAGTCACGTTAACTCTGATGGAGCTCATTGATCTGAATACTACGGATCACGTTCCTACCCTCACCTATGGTCACGAACTCTTCTGGGTCGTGACCGAAAGAACGAGGTCGCGGCTACAAGCGGCCAAAATGAGTTTCCTCCTTAGGGTGGCCGGGCTCAGCCTTAGAGATAGGGTAAGGAGCTCGGACATCAGGAGGGAACTTGGAGTCGAGCCGCTACTCCTTCGCGTCGAAAGGAGTCAGGATCCCCCAGAATGAGCTGGAACATGTTGGGGGGGAGAGGGAGGTCTGGGTCAGCCTGCTGGGCCTGCTGCCACCGTGACCCGACCCCGGATAAGTGGAGGAAAATGGATGGATGGACTACGGATCACTTTTCCTTTATATCTCAACTCAAACTTCAGGTAAATTCAATTCAATTCACTTTATATTTGTATAGCCCAAAATCACAAATTACTAATTTGCCTCAGAGGGCTTTACAATCCGTACACATACGACATCCTCTGTCCCAGGACCCTCACATGACATCCTCTGTCCCAGGACCCTCACATCAGAACAGGAAGAACTCCCCAAAAACCCTTTAACGGGCAGAAAAGAGGAAGAGACCTCAGAGAGAGCAACAGAGGAGGGATCCCTCTCCCAGGTAACATTCTAAGAAAGCAGCTGACAGATGCTGACTCAGCACTAAAGTAAGAAATGGTGTGTGTGTGCATGCGTGTGTGTGCATGCGTGTGTGTGCATGTGTGAGTGAGGTGACGGTATTTTTTACATTCATGTATGTTTTTGTATTGATAAGTCTGGTTGTTTGTGCATGTGTGTGCGTGCGTGTGTGTGTGTGCATGTGTCTGTCTGTCTGTGTGTGTGTGTGCATATGTGTGTGTCTGTGTGTGTGTGTGCGCGCGTGTGTGTGTGTGTGTGTGTGTGTGTGTGTGTGTGTGTGAGGCTCCTTTAGCGGTCAGGACTAACCCAGCGGCCCTCTGCAATTACCTCCGTCCTCGCTGAGAACTCACTTCACAATTATACGCAATTAGGGAAATGTGTGTTTGTGAGAAGAGCCGCGGTCGATGATCCTCAGCTCCCGTTTGGCAGATTTCATAAAAGATAATTGCTGAAGTGTGTGCGTGTGTGTGTAGGTGTGTGTGTGTGTTTTCCTTTACACGAAAAATTTATACTAATATATATATATATATATATATATATATTAGTATATATTAGTCTGGTGATGAATGGTGAGATATTAACAGGAAACCACTGACCCACTCTCACATCTCTAGTCTAAAGTCTAAAGTCTAAAGTCTAAATTGGAATGATATATATTCTTCTCTTGTCGAAGCTGAATTTCGCTGAAGGTGACGCAGAATTATGTTCTTCACTACAACGAGATGATGGGATCACATGTTCAGATGAACTCTAATTAAAAACAAAATAACAGGAAAAAAATAAAAATAAAGTCGCAATGTTTCTATTTCAGAGGAGAGGAGGAGATGAGGAGAGGAGAGGAGGAGAGGAGATGAGGAGAGGAGGGGAGGAGAGGAGAGGAGGAGAGGAGATGAGGAGAGGAGGGGAGGAGGAGAGGAGGAGAGGAGGAGAGGAGGGGAGGAGGAGAGAAGGAGGGGAGGAGGAGAGGAGAGGAGGAGGAGAGGAGGGGAGGAGGAGAGGAGAGGAGGAGGAGAGGAGGAGAGGAGGGGAGGACAGAAATAACAGAAGGGACAGAAGTAAACAGAAAGTTACATAAAAGCTAAAAGCTAAGATTCAGGTGAGAAGGTACCTGATTGGTGCTCCTCGTGAGTGGGCGGGCTTTAGCAGGATGGTGATGGTGGTCTCGGTCTCGTTCATTGGAGCCTCAGACTCGTACTCCGGCATCATCGGGGCTGATGGTCAAAGAGAATATAATTATGACTTTATGATTATTACTTTACTGAACGATCACAGTGTTGATTCATCGCTGAAACACTGTAGAATAATGATGATGTCATCACACATCATAACTGATGTGACATCACTCAGGAAGTACAAACACACTGAGCCCCTAAATATCAAATCAATAATAAAAAACAAATCAACAATCCTGTTTGGATCTGTTGAACCATTCATAACAGTGATGTCATCTTAATAAACAGAGCCCTCCTACTGAAGGTAGCCCCTCCTCCCGTACATCCATCATCGGTCCGTCTGCAGTCGTTAATTGAAACCTCTTCCTCCGTCAGCGGCTCAGGAGATATTGAAAATCGGGGACGGCGTGACATTTGGACACCGCGACACATGGTGCTGGGTTAGAGAGGAAGATGGAGGAACGCAGGCTCAGCGGAAAGGTCACGTTAAAATCACTGGGGTGTTGACAGACAGGAGCACGGTCCAATCAGCACTCAGGACTCAGGTTTGGGTTTTACACACAGACTCTGGTACCGTTACAAGATCAATATATTAAACATAAAACTGTGAACCTCACAGCTTCTAAGAAGAGAAGTTTCCAAAACTGAATGTGTGAAAAGAGCTTATTTGCTTCAGATCACATGTTTAGTCATGTGACACCGATCAATGATGTCATGAGATCAATAAACATAGAGGTGACCTTTTCATAATTGTAAAAAGAAGACAGAATACAAAGAGACAGAGAGTCAGAGAGACAGCAGAGAACAGGCGTCAGCTGACAGAGACGAGCTCCTCAACAAACCAATGAATCAACATGTGAGGCCGTTTCTGCCACAAAAGATGGCTGCTGTTCTTTCTTGTTTTTTGTGCCGTTGACATTTGGCCTGGACCGAGGCGGCGACATAAACAGAGGAAAAGATATGAAAAGAGTCGCTCAGACAGACAAACGCAGACGGCTGCTTTCACAGAGCAGTTATCCTCACAATAAGCATGAGTGTGTCACAACACAATGTCTTTGTGCATCTGGAGAGCAAAGACCAATCAGATGTCACATCAACAAACAGCGCTTTTTAAGGAGTAATTATGTGAATACGAGGAGGGATCTGGACCTGCTATCTTGGTGGAGATGCGGGTGGTGATGGGCGGGCCGAAGCCCTTGTTGGTGGAGGCTTTGATGGTGAAGAAGTAGGTGGTCCCCGGGTAGAGGCCTACGAACAAGTGGAGGGTCTCGTTCCTCAGCTTGAACACCCGTCCCCTCTGGGTGGTGAGGTCGGCGCTGGGGTCCAACGAGCTCAGAGCCTTGTAGGTGATCTGGAAACAGACGGAGTCACGGTTCAGCTTTACTCTCTTGGACCTCTTTGACTTCACGTTGGGTCACTTTAGACTCATTCAGCTTCTTTTGTTACATTTTTAGAAAATCAACGAGCTGAAATCAACACGTGTTGATGGACTTTAGGAGAAAAAACACAAAACAGAGAAAGATATTCTCAAGATATTGTAGGAACCGATGAGGAAACGCTGACACACTTCTCATCTCATTTCTAATTTAATGATTATTTTAGAATATAGATTTAAATGTGATTAATTCCAGTTGAAGAGATTAATGTCATCACTAAACATCTTTAAAACATTCAGAATGTGAAACACTAAAGGACTGAGGTTATGTCACTATGTATCCTGTGACCTATTAAAGCTAGATTACTGTTACTCGCCTCACTTTGTGTCTTTCTCTGCAATGTTACCTCAATTTGAATTTTTTCATTTTCACTCTAAAACAAACAGTAATCTGTCCTCAGACGTCAGTCAGATCCATGTTGGAGTTAAGAGATGCTGAAGTGATGTTGTGTCTTTACTGGTCTGAGTTTCTCCACATGAGACGAGAACCAATCGAGCACATTGACCCAGAGCCACGAAACAGGAAGAAGCTCTTCAACAGTTCTGCTGTTAAAAGAGCCGTCGATGTCTGTCGTGATGTTGCTGCTGGCAAGTTTCAACAACGGACAACTGTTGATGCACGCATGCACACACACACGCACACCCACACGCACACACACACACACACACACGCACAGACACACGCACAGACACGCACACACGTACGCACACACACACGCACATGCACACGCACGCACACACGTACGCACACGCACACACGTACGCACACACACGCGCACATGCACACACACACGCACACACGCACACGCACGCACACACGCACACACGCGCACACACACGCGCACACGCACGCACACACACACACACACGCACACGCACACACACACACACACGCACACACGCACACTGGAGGACAGCTGTCATTGTGAATGACAGTCAGCACAAAAGAGTATTGACTGGCAGAAAAAAAACAATAGCAATTCAACCCCAAACACATTTCAGTCCTTCACGAAGTGTAAGTGTGTGTGTGTGGGTGTAGCAGAGAGCAGCTTAGAGGATTTCATGGCGGTTCTCTTCATGTTCTTCATCAGGGATGGAGGAGGAGCTTCCCTAACAAGTGGTTAGGGTTAACCTACATATGGAAGAAACGGAGACGTCGTGCCCAAATAGGGCTGTGGCCCATCAACGGCCAATGCAAAAGTTGTGCCATTAAGCCCAAATTCCCTGGCAAGTCAAGTGGTTAGGCTTAACCTAACCTAACCTATCGAACTGTATCCGATCTAACCTTATCCGACAGAAGACGAGGCTCTAAAACTAAAACATGTTGAATCAATAGATATTTATTCCAACTGAGACAATAAAATATCTTCTGTTTCATCTACGCTGCAGTTTGGCTTTGCTCATTTTATTAGTCATGAATAGCTCTCTATATTTTTATGTTCTCTCTCTCTCCCTCCTCCCTCTTTCTTTGCCCCTTCTCCATATTACATCTCTGTTTTATTTCTTTGTCCATTGAGTTACCCCGTCTCTATTTTCTCCATTTTCTCTCTTTCTCTCTTTTAGTGATCTACTCACCCATTATCTCTCTCTCTCTCTCTCTCTCTCTCTCTCTCTCTCTCTCTCTCTCTATAGTTGATGTACTTGGAATCGGTAGAGCCATAAAGCTCAGGTTGTTTTATTGGTCAATGAAAAGGCAGGCATGCAGTGGGGCATTGCATCTTGGGTAATAGAGTATGAGTCTGTGAGGAATAACTCAGGAGTGTGTGTGTGTGTGTGTGTGTGTGTGTGTGTGTGTGTGTGTGTGTGATGAGAAAGTGAAGGAGGTTAAAAGAGGATTTAGGTAGAAAATAGAAAGAACCTGAAGAGACAGAAAGATAGAAGATAGAAATATACGGGATAGTTTAGTTATAGTTAAGAGATAAATTACACGTTTTTATTTCTACTTAAATCATTTAAAGACATTTGTTAATACTTTGTACTTTATCTTTCTTAAAAGTCAAAGCTGAAAGAGGCTACAGTATTTTCTATAACCTGTCAATACAAAAGTTATAACTAATCCATTATAAAGGTGCCTTATTGTGTGTGTGTGTGTGTGTGTGTGTGTGTGTGTGTGTGTGTGTGTGTCTACAGCCAAGTTTAATGGAACTAAACAATGTTTACGAGGCTCTGTTGTGGGATCGCTGTTGAAGAAATGCTATTTCAATTCAGTTTTGTCATTTTCCATTTTTTATCCTCTGTGCTCCCGTTTGTTTTATTAGTAATGTGCAGCGGCTTCGTTCCTCTCTGTCTCAGTGCTGCTGTTCTGTCCTGTTGAATTAAGTTCAGTGTGAGAGCTGTTTGTTCCAAATTGTTTTCCACCTCTCTACATTTTCAGCATTTAGCAGATCCTCTCAAGCGAAGCAGTGTTACTGAATAAAGTCGTTTTCACTGTAACTGTAGTGATAGGGTTAGGGTTATAGGAGTCAGGCCTGGGTTAGGGTTAGGTTTGGGTAAGGACGTGGCCTCCTGGTGGAGGTCACGGTGGGCACGGGCACAAGGGGGTTAGGGTTATAGGAGTCAGGCCTGTAAAACACAATCAATGGCAGTTTTGCATGTCAATGATGAATACAATCTAATTCTCGACAATGATGCAACTGAATGTCTTCGACCACTTTTTGACTTCGACTGTAACTACATTTAAAAATACAGCATCTATGACACAATTGATGAAGCTATACTCGAGTTAACTCAGATTTGTATTTCAATATAGCCATATCCCGAAAACACTGAAATAGTGATAAACAATGTTCATATGACTGAAGAGCTCCACACTATCAGGCAAATAAACGTGTTCTTGTTGTCATTTAGCAGGTGGATCATTTTCCAGGTAACTTAACCCATATTATAGATATCTTTTCATGTTGTACTGTTTTTTTGCTCCGACCCCCAATTTAAGAATAAATTGTAACATCTTTGATTTTTTTTCTGATATTTTTTGATTTGATGTCATACAATTAGACTGCTTTGTGCTAGTTGCCAAAGCTCTCAACTGTGCTAACAACTAAAAGAGGCTTGAGTTTAAAATATTAAACACAATAACTTTGTTTCCCCGAGGTTTGACAGCTACTATCGTGCCTCTGAATGCACCTGAAGAGCTTGTTGAACACATGAGTAACAGAGTAAGAATAGAAACCCCTTCCGTCTCTTTTAAACTGTAGTGTGACACATCCTGTCCTGCTCATTAGCCACATTCTCCAATATGAAAAGAGAATATTTTACGCCACATATCCTCCCATTTAGTACATTTAAATCTATTTTCTGAAGTTCCAACATAATAACTACAAAATAAATATGAATAAGTCTTTACTAACTGTGTCAAGACCCAATATTCACAACATAAAATCATTTCCATCTCTAAGCTTCCCAATGTGAATCCATGACAGGAAGACTGCCGATTTAATAACACTTATAGTATATATATATATATATATATATATATATATAATAGTTGCAATAGATACAACCTGAATAAACGTTTCTCTCTTCTTCCCCTCCCTCACCATGCACCCTGGCACCTCCTGCCTCGTCCAGTTCTGGAGGCATCTACAGTTTTAGGTTTCATTTCTGTTTTTAGAAGGTTCCATTTGGGACAGACTGTTCTCCTGCTTCCCGGCATTAAAATGTCAAGACATTCTAGGTCACTACGAATAGAAAGGCAAACACAAATGCTAATATTAAGACGCAAGCACACACACAAATGAAAACATACCAATCCAAAGATGTACATACAAATAAAAGCCAACGATGCACACGTAAATACTGATGCATACATACATGAAAACACAAAGGGGAATGGGATATTTGGTGGTGTTTTCCTCATCCCACGTCTCTATTGTTCGGTACAAGATAAGCTAACTGGAAAAAGAAATAGCAACAATAGACCTCTATTGTTCTCATCAAGTCTTGATAAGAGAAAGAAAGACAGAAGGACAGAGTGAGATGAGGACTAAATATAGCCTGATACAGTTTCCAGGCCGTAGTATTGTTCTCGCTGAGATAAATATACACAAGAGAGAGATGGAACAGGACAATCTAGCTTCATAAATAGCCGGGCTGTTAATCACCAACAAAGGCCTCCATCTCTAAATCAGGCCGTTCAATCAGCGGTCGTGAGGCAGAAGTGAGGAGCGACTGACAGGAAAGTGGAGCTTTGGAAAGCTTCGTCTGCTATGGTGACCCAAAGTTCACCTCATTATCAATGCCAAACCCACCGCAAACGTATCACAGTCGGCACTCAGCCCACCCTGAAGAGGTGATCAGAGATGGAGCATTCAAATCCGTCTGGAAAATCAGCCGCTGCTGACAGTTTGACGGGAAACGGCCCGGATCGTCTTCTCGCTCGTCTGACAGCCACACGGCTACTTCCTGTCAGCCGAGTGAAGACGAGTGACAGAAAGAGCACTCTCCCTCTAGACGCTAATATGGGCCACACATGCTGCTGCTGCTTCACTGCCACCAAAAGAATCCTCTGCAGACGAGCTGTTCGTCGCAGACTGGCAGTGATTTACGAGGCGAGAGAAACAGACACAACCCTCAGTTTGTGACTGAATCTGTGTTGTTACTTTGCTTTGTTCTATTTTGCATTTAAGTATTAACAGAAGCACGCAGAGCTTCAGTTATATGTTCAAACAGAAGCTGTAAGCACACTGTCAAAGGTCAGAGCCACAGATCCTGGATCTGTTCCTCTAGCATGCTGTTACCTGAGATGTGGATAGAGAGAACAATCATGTTTATCATGTTTATGTGTACTGAGAAGAATAAAGTCAACAGAGGCAATAAAGAGAGAACCGAGGCCTCAGCAGCAGGACACACGGGACGAATGAAAAGAAGAATATTAGACATGAAGAGCTGGATATGTCGAGGGAGGCGTAACCGCC